TACAAAATACTTTAAGAAAAAATGCTTATTTTTCATTATTGTTTAACTGCAGTAAAAATTATGGCATGTTGTCTGCCAATATTGTATGTCAACTATGTTTATCTCATTGGCTTAATTCCCAAGTTATTAAACTTTTGTAGGGCAAAGAATACATTTTTCTGAATGTCTTTTTGTTTGTTTGTTTGTTTTCCTTTTTGTCTTTTTTCGTGTCTGGCAACAGATCGCAACCCTCAGTGTCGCGCCCGTACCGGACCGGGACCGGCAACGGGATTGCAACCCTCGGTGTCGTGCCCACACCTCGCCCAGCCAGTGAGCAGGAACTGGTCTGTATGTGGGATCCGAACCCTCGGCGGGAGCGCCTGCTGCGCTCTCAAGCGGCGCACTGTAGCAGTGCGCCACCGGGCCAGCCCTGAATGTCTTTTTTTTTAACTATAAAATATTTTAGACTCTCTAGAAAGTTAAAAAAAATTCACGGGAGCTCAAATGTTTGTCATCACAAAGAAACAAATTTTGTGATGATGAATTTGCTAACCACGCTGATTTGATCATCACACTTTGTATACAAGTATTAAAATCTAACTCTGTATCCCGTAATATGTACAACTAACATATTTCAATTAAAAAATAAATTCTAAAACAAAAACAAAAAACTTGTGTACAAACCACCCAACTAAAAAAAAAAAAAAATGATCAGGAGACAACATAGTGTGATGTTTGGATGAGTTAGTATATGTGATGTGGTCAGCACAGTACCCGGCATATATTAACATTACCATGTTAGATATTATGATTACCAGCATAGACCATGTACTCAAACGAACTTTCTGGATTTGTTTCACTTGTCTATTCTGTAAGGAGAGACAAATTTAAACCAAATTTGAGATACTCTGAAGGACTTAAAAATATACATTATATTTACTATTTGGTCTTTAAACAAAACGTTGCCATCTTTTTGCAATAAGGGGATTTTTTTGTGTGGGTTTATAATTTGTATTATTGATAATTTTCATTTTTTAAGATATAGTCTACAAGTATGCTTATGTTTTTGCTTTGAAACATATTTTTAATGTACCTTAATGATACTACAAATTTCTGAATGGAATTTACCTTTGTTAACTGGGTTTTTAATCTGAATTTTGCAAATCCTGTTCAACTGCTTGGAAAATACGTTGGGTTTACGTACATTTTTTTGGCAAGAAAAATATCTGTAGCTTTCATTAACTATCTCAAAGGAACCTCTAACCTCTACCCTTGCAAAGCAAATAAGCACTGAGCTAAAAACAAACACATAACTTTATAAGAAAGTTAATTGGGTAAAACTTGAAATAAAATACGCTTGACCTAACTATTCCCATTATAAAAGCAGACTTTCCCGATTATGTAACTAACATATGTTTACCATTTAGAAGAAAACACAAAGCTCATCCAGCTATGACAAATAATATGGACATACATAATAAAAAGCACAACATAATAGGCATTCTGGAATTTTGCTAATTCATAAATGAAATCTTTGGCGCACAGATCCAACTTCACAGTACGATACAATTAATATATGACAGTCCCTGTTCATATAAATTTGTATTTCATGATGGTAAATAAATCTGATATAGCAAACTGCAAGAACTAGTGGGACTTGGTAAAAATTTGCTATACATAGCATATCAATTCTCTGGCTATTTAGTATTATAATTAAGTATTCCAAAAAACACATATTTTGAAAAATGCATCTTGAAATGTACAAATGAAAATCTTGCTTAAGGACAAAATAAAATGCATGAGATAATATTAAAAGATACATTTCAAAATAAATCTTTAAGTCTTTTAATTTTATTTTTTTATAAAGAAATCTGGATTTCCTCATTTTGTTTAGAATAAAAATTTAAAGGCCAGAAAAATGTACATACAGTACACTTTCTGTAATCAGAAAATACTAATAATGGAACATTTTACTGAGTCACAATAAAATGCTTCAGTTTGTCTTGGAGTGGTTCCCCACGCATTATTGACAGAGCAAATAGAATACTCTTCCTCTTAATCCTCAGCACACAATCTGCTATCCTTTGCCACAGCACAAAATAAGATCATGGTGTCAGAACTTTTCAAATTCACATGATGAAACTGTCCTCACATTGCTACTTGTTTTTATTCAGGAAATAATAGAGATAAAAAGGAAAAAAGAAATCACACTGAAGTTACAAATGTGAAGCATACGCAATATGAAACACGTTCACTATGATCAGTACAAATTCCACAATTTTCCCTACACATCCTTAATGTTGTAAAGTGGAACCAGGCTACTCCAATCCCCTGTAGTTTCTGCTGTTGAATGTGAGATCCATGAGGGTACCAGGTCCTGTCTGTTCAACACTGTACATACAGCACCCTGCAGTGCCTGGCACATGAGAGACACTCAATAAACACCTGTGCAATGAAGAAAAAGGAAATACATGAAAAGCCAGTCTGGGGACTGGAATGGTAGGTAGGTGTGGGGAACAGAAAATAGAAAAATAAAAGTGAAATAATACTTGTAAAAAGTCACTCACATTGTCAAATCAGAAGAAATTTAAGTCCAGAAAAATACATCATTTTTATTTAATACTTTTCAAAGGATGATAGCCATATATGAGTATAAAAGCTTTTACAAAGCATTAAATTCCAAAACTTTTTTCTTTTTCTTTTTGGTGGCTGGCTGATGCAGGACAAAATTTCTAATAATTTAAAAGTAGCATCAGAGTAATTTTCATTTTTAACTTTTAAAAATTACATATAAGTCTACAGCACTCAATATTCCCTGATGGTCTCCCATCCAAATACCACCCAAACACCCTGCTTAGTTTTCTAGACAATAATGAGATTGCGGTTGTTCAGGGTGGTATAGCTGTAGACTGATGAATAATTTTTAAAGCTCATTAAGTTGCTACTGTTTTATAAAAAAATAAAGTTGGAAAATTTTTATATAGTGAACTCATTTGGGTAAAAAATATATGCATAAAAATTTTTTGCAAGAACATAAACTATTAACAGTGGCTTTCTTTGGGAATGATTGGGGAGTCCATTTCTGTTGCTTATAACAAAATACCTGGGACTGGGTAATTTGTACGGAAACAAAATTTATTGCATATAGTTTCAGAGGCTGAGAAGTCCAAAATGCAGGCAACACATCTTATGACACTCTCCGTTGGTGGTGGCTTTACAGCAATGTAGAGGTCTCATGACACTCTCCGTTGGTGGTGGCTTTACAGCAATGTAGAGGTCTCACATGGTAAAAACTGGTGGAGCAGATAGAGCTCCTCACGCACTCGCCTTTTAAAGACCTCAGAATCACGCTGTTCACCATCATTCTTAATCCATTCACTACAGCATGGTCCTGTGATCTAATCACTTCTTCAAGGTGCCACATTTCAACTACCAAAATAGGATTTTCCACCCTCTTAATAGTCAACAGCGGGGATCGAGCTTCTAATACATAAAAGTTGGCAGACACAATACAATCCATATCAGGACCTAATGCAGAAAGAAGGACACTTTTATTTTTTACTTCATATGCTTTTGCACTGTTGGATTTTTTTCCAACATTTATATTTTATAATAAAACTCATATAAAGGGAAAATGTCCAATTTGTAAGTATTTTTGGAACCTCAGGAACTTAGAAATTGCAACATCTTACAAATATATTGAGGATTGATAATACTGTTCGAAGTCTGCACTTCACTCTTTACTAAAATATGAAAGTAGATGATGAAACAGACTAGGACATAAAAAATGAGACATATAGATCAGTCTCCTCCAAAGCAGGGAAAAACATTAATATACTTAAGAAAAATTTTCCAAAAGTTCATGTCATAAACATCTGCTGGTTTGTTAGATATTATCAGTGATCTTTATTATCACTGAACATATGTTCAAATTTAGGGTTTAGAGGTTTTCCACAAAAGTGAATTATTGTATATTTAGTGCAACCCGGTACATAGCAGATCCAAAACCAAACAAAACCTAGCTGCTCATTCTAACCTAGGAAATCCTTCCATATAATTTTTTTAAATGATCTCAATAGAGACAGAAGTAAAGGAATATTATAATGTTATAGGTCAATTAGCCATAAACATGTAAAATGTAATTTTTAGCTCTCAGTTACTTTTTTACTATTGATATGCTTTACTACAAAACAACTTAAAAAGGTATGGTTCTTGAATGATGGTGCATATATCAGAAGGTTAGTAACAATATTTTAAAAAAAAGTGAAAGAGCTTTCAAATTAACAATTTCATTACCATTTGTAATTGACACATAAAAACTGTATGTACTTATCATGGACAACATAATGTTTTGAAATATGTTATCCCTTGGTATCTGTGGTGGATTAATTACAGGATGCTCAAGTCTCTGATATAAAATGGCATAGTATTCGCATATAACCAATGAACATTCTCCCACGTAGATTACGTATACTACCTAACATAATGCTACACAGTTGTTATACTATATTGTTTAGGGAATGATGATGAGAAAAGTCTGTACATGTTCAGTACAGACGTAATCTTTTCTGATATTTTTCAAGCCACATTTGGTTGAATGCACGGATGTGGAACTCATGGATAAGGAGGGCGGGCTGCACATTGTGGAATGGCTCAACTGAGCTAATTAACATATGCATTACTTCATATACCTATTTTTGGTGGCAAGAACACTTAAAATCTACTCTGTTAGCAATTTCCAAAATACAACACATTGTTATAACTATAGTCCCCATGCCGTACAATAGATCTCTTGAACTTATTCCTCCTATCTAACTGAAGTTTTGATTCCTTTGATCAGCATCTCCCCAATCTCCCATCTCCCAACCCCTCATAACCATCTCATAACCACCATTCTTCTCTCTGCTCCTATGAGTTCAAATTTTTTAGGCTCCAAATATAAGTGAGATCATGCGGAATTTGTCGTCTTCTGCGTGGCTTATTTCACTTAACGTAATGTCCTCCAAGTTCATCCACGTTGTCAAATGATACAATTTCCTTCTTTTTAAAAGCTGAATAGTACTCTATTTTTAATAGATATAAATTATATCCATTCTGGAACTAGTAATGTGGCATGCTTTGATGGTGCCACACTATAAAGATACTGTATTGGAAATCTGTAAATTAAGCAACTGTTTCCTATGATGTGCATCATTTTCCTGGTCGGCATGATCATCCAGTGATTTTCTTATACAGTTCTTTAATTCTTCGATTCCTTCTCCAGTAACTGCTGAGATGGGGATGATATGTTGGAATGCCATAGTCCTCTCTGGAATTATGTTTTTTTCAATTAAATGCAGAAAATCTAAAACAAAGAACACAAAGCTAAGCTAACTTCCATTGTCTTTGAAAGTAAGTCAAAGCTACATTAGAGGTTTGATTTGTGAAGCAGGGAATCAAAATTTTGGCATTTTTAATTCCTTTTTTTTGCTTCTCTCCAATAAGCTCTCAGAACCTTTGGATTTTACTGACAATGGCAAAGTTCTTGGCACATGATAAGTACTGAGTAAATACCTGTTGGATGAATTGAGTATATTTTAAATGAAACTAAGTATAGAGGATGAATCATAAAGTAATAAATTTGGGGGGGTTTTTTGGGGGGGAGCGGTTTCCAATAAGGTGAGGCAACATTAATTCTTTGAAAGAAACTTTCTGTAAAAATAATACCATCATTTATAATTTGGGATATTCTAGCTGGCCTCAGTACACAGGCAACCTCTAACTTCCCTGAAGTACAGGCTTATCATCACTGATACTATGATCCATACTAAAATTGAAGAGGGAGTAGGAAGAGTTCAAGAGGAGATCATTTCAGATGAATCCTATCTATCACCTCACCCCACAGGAGGCTAAATCTGCTATCTTACTTTTTCTTCTTCCCTGCCACTATGGCAATGGGAGGGAGGCAACATACTGATTGGATGGGTTAACAGTGATAAGAACTAGAAAGGCTGGACCAAACTTGAACAAGCTAACATGGAGCTTTGTTTTTGAGATTCATAGGTCCCCAAGGAAGTCAAGAGAGGCTAACTCAAGAATTATCATTGAAGGGCCTACATTTTATTTTATGATGGTCCAGATTAGCTACAAACTCGAGTTACCCTAACCCCTACTACCTCTTCTGAAAAATACCTTCTCTGCCAGACCAACTAGCAAACAGAACAATTTTATAAAGCAAATGACATTAAGGACAAAAGGCGAACTATTTATAAGGAAATATTTATATCCCAAGAGTAAATTATTAACTCAGTGACAGCTCCAACACATAAATTACACGGGGATTTTTGAGTGGAGAGAAAGGACCTTCTTATGTTGTCTGCTAGCTCTAGTACACTATAATCTATTTTCTCCAGTTGTTATCTCAAGATTGAAAACATACAGTAATTAATACTATTTAAAAACACGTAAGCCACTTACCATGCGCCCTACTTTTCCTTATGTGTGCATGAGGTCCTCTACTACACTCAGGAAAATGAAAGCATCATCACCGTAAGACAGAGGATGTTCTTGTAAGGTAAATACTTAAAACTGTGGAGAGTCCCTCTAAGTTCTGTTACACAAAGTGGTCCATAAAGGAAATTTCAGACAAATAAATCCTTTTGGGGTAACAGCATCTATTCTTCTGTGTCTCACACACATAGGAGAACTCAAGTTCTTTTTAGAAGACTAATATGCTTGAGATCTATAGAGTTGGTGTTGCAAAGAAACAAACCTCTTTAGAACTATTAGCTTTTCAAAAAAATGTATGGTGTACTAGGGGAATAAAGTTCTAGAGCTTGTGAAGTATGTTAATTAAAGTGAAAGACTTCACACTTCACAGGTAGATGCTGACTTTTTCTTCTTTTTATCCAAATCCCACATACTAATTAAGAGCCCATTTTTAATTTTACTTCTTCATGACACCTGACCATTTTGTTTTAAATTAATCTTTCTTTTCTTTTGTCTCCTCTAACTTACTGTCCATATCACACATTCTGGAAGTTGATAATTATCATACCATGTTATTTAAATGTTTCATATGATATGTATTCTTTTGTCAAACATACAGTTTCCAAGAGTAGGAACTATCAGTTTTCATTTCCACTGATTACAACACTCAGCATTCTCTGCACATAGTAAGTATTCATTAAGTTGGAATTAAATAAATGAATGGGTTTACCTTTAGGATTCTGGAGTTGGTTCATCAATTCACGGAATTTATCTGGGGCATGTGGCAAATCCATTTTATTAACTGCCAGCAATGCAGGTTTTGTCTGAAGTTCCTCTTTGTACAACTCCAACTCCTTTAAATCAAAAGGAAAAAACTGAATAATTTTATAAATTACCAATATAAATTACCAATTTGGTAATGTCTTTCTTTACTTTAACGGCCTGGGTAATCTAGAACACACTCACAGAACTGAAATGCAATAAATCCCAACATTCACAAAACTAACCATGGAAATTCAGAAAATGCTTCTGGTTAGGGCATGTGTTAGTATATTTTAGCTCACATAACATCCTCCAGACAGTTGTAATTTTGTGTTTAGAGCCAAATACATGTATCTACACTTCACACAGATAAAATTCAGAAGTCAATAATGACAACTTCACGTTATATCTGCAGTATTCTTGGAAAAAAATACACTTAGAAGTAAATCTTCATAATCTTGGATTAAGCAATGGTTTCTCAGACATGATACCAAAAGCACAAGCAAAAGGAAATATAGATGAGTGGGACTTCACCAAAATTAAAAACTTGGGTTTTTTTTCTTGCTATTGAGTTGAGTTCTTTATACATTTTAGATATTAACCCCTTAGCAGATGTATGGTTCACAAATATTTTCTCCCATTCCAGAGGTTGTCTTTTTACTCTGTTGATTGTTTCCCTTTGTTGTGCAGAAGCTTTTTAGTTTGATGCAGTCCCATTTGTCTATTTTTGCTTTTGCTGCCTATGCTTCTGGGGTCACACCCAAAAAATCATCGCCCAGACCAACGTCAAGAAACTTTTTCCCTATGTTTTTCTCCAGTGGTTTTACAGTTTCAAATCTTACATTTCAGTCCTTAATCCATTTTGAGTTGACTTTTGTATATGAGATGGTATAAGGGTTGAATTTAATTCTTTTCCATGTAGATATCCAGTTTTCCCAACACCATTTACTGAAGAGACTGTCCTTTCCCCATTGTGTGTTCTTGACATCTTTGTCAAAGATGAGTTGACCTAAATGCATGGATTTATTTCTGGGCTCTCTATTCTACTCAATTGGTCTATATGTCTGTTTTTCTGATAGCACCATGCTATTTTGATTACTATAGTTTTGTAGTAGGTCTTAAAATCAGGTAGTATAACACATCTCCGGCTTTGTTCTTTTTGCCTAAGACTGCTTTGGTTCTTGTGTGGTTCTGTATGAATTTTAGGACTGCTTTTTCTTTTTCTGTTAAAAATGCCATTGGAATTTTGATAGGAACATGTTGAATCTGAAGGTTGCTTTGGGTAGTATGGACCCGATTAAAATATGGGCAAAGGACCTGAACAGACAATTCTCAAAAGATACACAAATGGCCAACAGGTATATGAAAAAAAAATGCTCACCGTTAATAATCAGAAAAATGCAAATTAAAACCACAGTGATATGTTACCTCACACCTATTAGGCTGGCTATTATCAAAAAGACAAAAGATAGCCAAGTGTTGGTGAGGCTATGGAGAAAAAAGAATAGTTTAACGCTGTTCATGGGAATGTAAATTAGGACACACATGGAAAACAGTATGGAGGTTCCTCAAAAAATTAAAAATAGAACTACCATAAAATCCAGCAATCCCACTTCCATCCAAAGGAAATGAAACCAGTATGTCAAAGAGATATCTGCACTCCCAGGTTCACTGAAGCATTATTCATAATAGCCAAATATGAAATCAATCTAAGTGTCCATCAACAAATGAACGGATAAAGAAAATGTGGTGCACACGTGTGCGCACACACACACACACAATGAATTACTATTCATACTTAAAAAGAAGGAAATCCTGTCATGTGTGACAACATGGATGAACCTGGAGAACATTATGCTTAAATAAAATAAGCCAGACACAGAAAAACAAATACTGCATAATCTCACTTATATGTGGAATCTAGAAAAGTTTAACTCATAGAAGCAGAGAGCAGAATGGTGGTCGCCAGGGGCTTGGCGGAGGGGGAGTTACAGGGTATTGGGTAGGGGGAACAAAGTTTCAGTCAGGATAAATCAGTTCTGCAGATCTGTTGTACAGCATGGTGATTATAGTTAATAATGATGTATTACATAATTAAAAATTGCTAAGAGAGTAGATCTTAAAATGTTTTTATCACCAAAAAAAAAAAATGTGAGCTGATGAATAAGTTAATTATTTTGATTAAATCATTTCACAATGTATACATATATCAGAATATATATATTTGTGTACTGCAAATATATACAATTTTTATTTGTCAATTATACCTTAATAAAGCTGGGAAAATAAATATATAAGTAAAAGTTGTATGCCTCAAAGGATACCATAAAGAAAGTGAAAAGACAATTCACAGAAGGAGAGAAAATATTTTCAAGTCATGTATATGACAAAGAACTTATATACAAAAGTATAAAAAACGAATACAACAATTAAAAGAAAAAATAATACAATTAAAAAATGGGCAAAGAATATGAATAGACATTTCTCCAAAGATATAAAATTGGCTAATAAACAAATGAAAAGATGCTCAAGTATCATTAATCATAAGAGATATATAAATAAAAATATAATGAAATACCACTGCATTCCCACTAGGATGGCTTAAATAAAAATCACAGGCAATAACAAGGGTTGACATTTATTTGGAAAATTTGGAACCCTCATACATTGCTGGTGGGATTGTAAAATGGTGCAGTGGTGCAGCCAATTTGGAAAACAGTTTGGCAGTTCCTCAAAATGTTAAACAAAGAGTTACCATATGATCCAACACTTGTACTCCTAAGTATATATCCAAGAGAAATGAAAACATACGTCTGCAGAAAAAACTTGTACATAAATGTGCACAACAGTACTATTTAGAAGTTCGAGAGGGTTTTATCCATTGCAACAGTTTGAGGAGCAGGTAAATATTGAAGAACTGGAGACAGCAAGTCTAAATAATTCTTAAACTGATATCAAAGCTTTACAAAAAAAGGTGGAGTATATATTTTTTTTAATCCTAATTACTATGTTATTTCATATAGACCTACATGCCTATATAGTAGACCAGATACAGAACACAGTAAAACAGACAACTTACTTTTGTAAGCAGTATTATGGTTTCAAAAGCAGTTCTGTATGGAGTTTTTGAAGAAAGCTGAAATCCAAAAATATCAACCTAAGAAAAGAGAGGGAAAGAGACAACCTTTAAACAAGAATAGCTATACATTTTCGTGTTTTGAAATGTTTTACTTTCTCAAGCTAAAAATATTTACTTAATCTACACTCTACTGGTAATTTAGCAATTCAAAATAAGTAACAGAAATTGAGAAGTCAAGATAAATATAATCATTCTGTTAAAATGAGTCATTACTGAGAAACTAGTATAGATAGGACAATTTATACCAATACAATCGCATATGTAACTCCAGCATCATCAATAATGTATGAAAGAGATAATTATATAATACAGTAGTATGCTGGAAATCTTAAGGAATTAAATTTTGACAAGTATGGCCAAACTGATATCTGATATAGAAAACAATGTCATTTCCATCCCCATATTATGAACAAAGATTACTTACTATATTTGGCCGCCATGTGAACAGACTTAGCAGGTTAACATATGCTACTACCTTATCTTTAAATTTTATAAGCATTTTCTTAAAGAGGGACAGAAAAAAAAAAATTTCTTAAAAACCTAAATACAATGATTTTCACATTCATTTGAACATTACATTGGTAAGCATTTGACTTACAACAAAAAGTAGTTGTCTAGTTCTTTCTATATGCTTGAGGAATTTGTGGCCCATGCCTTTGTTCATATGTGCTCCTTCTATTAAGCCTGGAAGATCAGCTACTGATATCTAACATAAAGTTAAAGGGTTTGATGAAAAAGAAAAATTTATGAAAACCACAAGTTCAATTACATCCAAAAATTTTCATATTTCAAATATAAACAGTTCCTAATTTATGATTACCACAATATCTTTAAAAAGCCAACATATCTTTATAGCAAAATAAGTGTATTAAGAATCAAAATCCTTTGTTATCAGATATTAAAGCCCCCCCCCCCAACACCCTTTTTTTTTTTTTTTTTTTTGGTGGCTGGCTGATATGGGGATCCGAACCCTTGACCTCAGTGTTATATAACACCATGCTTAAACCAACTGGGGTAGCTGGCCAGCCTAGAGTCCCATTTTTATTTATTAATCTAACAATCTAGAAATTTTAGAGATTAGTTTAACATTTTAACATTTAACATAATCACATGAATTTGTAATTCCATAAATTGTATTGTTCAATATGAACTTGTGATAGAATTTCAACTTTTACAATCTGAATTTGTAAAAGTTTACAAGGATATTAATTCAGCAAACATTTACTAATACAGTTCTGTAGTTTTAATATTTAAATTCAATTTGTAATTGTTTATTTGGTACTGTTGTTCCTTTTCTGTTCATATTATACCAGTAGGATTACTGATCATTCTCATAAAGTGCAAGATCATAGTATTCCTATAGTCCTTTTAGAGGTGATAAGAATTATTAACCATCATTCTGCATTTGTGCTTTTCAAACCTCACTATGCATCATAATCACCTAGAGAACTCTTAGAAACTAAAGATGCCCAGGTCCAAACCTCAAGAGATTTGGTTTCAAATCTCTGGAGCCCAGAAATCATTTATTCATTGTTGTTCTTAAGTCACCCAGACAATTCTGAAGTGCAGTAAAGGATGAGAATCAATGCTCTATATCCACTGCCCAGTGTGGATAAGGAATTCAGTCTTAAAGGAAATTGTGATTTTATGACAAAGCAGTGTGCACAACAGAGGTCTCATGTCCTTAAATTTCCTTTCAAGGTTCTCTACTGATTTCCTTTTAAAAATCAGTTACAAACAATGTTCTCTTTTTTTTTACTGGTTTATTTATTTTATTTTTTGTGGCTGGCTGGTACAGGGATCAAACCCTGGACTTTGGTATAACTTTACTCACTATTTAATGTTCTATATTAAAATTGTTGAAGTTTTTTTTTTTACTGTTTTATCACTATTATAAATGAATACTTGTATAAGTCTTTTGTCTTTTGAATTATGTCAGAGGATTATATGAACCTTCGTTGACACATCATTATCACCCAAAGTCCATACTTAACAATAGGGTTTCGATATTAGCATTTTAATTCTATGGGTTTTGACAAATGCATTATGTATCCACCATTATAGTATGACACAGAATAGTTTCACTGCCCTGAAAACTCTCATGTTCTGCCTATTCATCTTTTCTTCTTCCCTAACCCAGGCAACCACTGACCTTTTTGCTATCTCCATAGTTTTGCCTTTTCCATAATGTCATTTTGTTGTAATTATATAGTATATTGCCTTTTCAGATCGGCTTCTTTCACTTAATATTCATTTAAGGTCCCTCCATGCCTTTTGATAACTTGATAGCCTGTTTCTTTTTAGAGTTGAAAAATATTCCATTGTCTATATGTACCACAGTTTATTTATCCATTCACCTACTGAAGGATATCTTGATTATTTCCAAATTTTGGTAATTATGAATAAAGCTGCTATAAATATCTATGTGCAGGCTTTTGTGTAGACATAAATTGTCGACTCATTTGGGTAAATACTAAGGAGTACAACTGCTAGATTGATTATACATTATACATTTAAAAAATGTTGTTACTTTCCTTTTTTCAGTTTTTATTCTAATTATATGAAAGATCTATAGTTCTTCCTTATGAAGGAAAAATAAATTTCAATGGCTAGATGAGACCAAAACCCCATTAAAACTTTTTGCGGGGGCTGGCTAGTTAGCTCGGTTGGTTAGAGTGCTGTGTTATAACACCAAGGTCAAGGGTTCTTATCTGCTTACTGGCCAGCCACCCAGAAAACCCCCACAAAAAACAAAGTATTTTTTCCTCCAAATAAATAAAGTTCAAATAAAATAATTTCCATGAAGTTTGGAAAGTATTTTTAGGAAATGAAGATCAATAATCCAATATGGCAGTAAAATAAGGACTTGCAATGAGAAGAAACAGATGAAAGAGATAAGAGGACCCAATGTTATAGTAATAAACTGTAACTCATCTTTGGAAAAACAAGAAATTAAATTCTTATACAATATTTTGTTATGATAGTGCTCAGCAGAATTAATTTGACCATTGTTTCACTTATCATAAAATAAAATCCTGTCACTTTTTTTCCTGTAACACCACAGAAAGAGGCAAATATTATAAAGTCCAAGTACCAAAACCAAATACTTTCACTTCTGATTGTTTTATCTTAAAAGTACCCACCTGTTTGAAATCACTATACATAATCTTTCCAAGTTCAGGCTTTAATGTTGTAACTAAAAGGAAAAATAGCAATAAATTAAGACTAAAATAAGGCTGTTACTCTTAAATTAAATCATCTTAACATTATGCATAGAATAGATAATATTTTCTGTGAGCAGTTTAATTCATATTTTGTTCAAATTTGTTGAAATGGAAACTACAATTACCTTTGCTGTTTAGAATGTACTTGGAAAAGGACAAATACAGATTTTTATAATCTGCACAGACCTTACCTAATTATTGGGCCTCAAAGTTCCTCTACTGCACTTTAAGGTATATGGTAAGGATGTCCAGCAGGCTCAGAATTTAAATTTCTATTACTGGGTCTCTGGATGAAAATTTTCTAGTCCTTTCTCACTGTTATCCTTAAGCCTCACTAATCCTACACTAGCCTAGCTTCTTTCCTACGACTTTTTGCTTTTCCTCCTCTTTCCTTCTAATTTGAGAATGACATAATTTTATTTTCTAGGTTAACATATTCAATGTCTTTTGGTTTAACGATGGCAGAGATCCTATCATATTCACTTACTACTCTTAGCCTAAGATTCCATTATATCTCATCTAGCTATTTCAATAGCCTACTAACTGCTCTTCGCAGATTCATTTATGTCCCATACCAATCCATTTTTCATATTATAGGCAGAGAGATCTTTTTGAAGAGCAAATCTAATCATTTTATCCCTTGCTTAAGGGCTTCCAATTGTTAAGATACGAAGATCAAATACAGCCTACGTCACCTATGTGATATGGTCTCCACCTACATCTCCAGCCTCATCTCAATTCCCTCTTTACTTCATGTTCTCTAGACACACAAATCTACTCCCTGCCCCCACTAAGCCTTTGTATACATGCTATTTCCTCTGATTTAAAGATTCCTCATCTCCATTCCCTTTCACTATTTAACTCATAATTATTCTTCATATCTCAGTACAAGCATCACACCACTGCAAGGAAGTCTAAAGCAGTCACCTGCACTCTTTCATAGAGCCCTTTTATATTCCCTTAAAATCCTAACTAAACCAAATAAATAATTTTGGAGAAATAAATTAAATGCAACAAAGTAAGTGTTTAACAAGTACAAGAAAGGGCTACAGAAGTCTCAAAGATTAATGGGAAATGCACATATGCTATTGGCCAAAAGTTTTCAAATTAAGACTACCCTCAAAGTTGTCATTCTATTCACACTCAGAGAAAAATTAATCTTTAAAAGTTTACCCTCACACATTAAAATACGCAAACTATACTTACATGCATAATCTGCAATTGCAGGTTTTGCGTGAGAAACCTGACTTAGCAAAGAGGATTTTCCAGCATTTGGGAATCTGTAATGAGAAAATAAAATTATATGTTACAACAAATATCAGTATTATTAATACTTGCTTACCTCTGAATTCCTAATAATTCAAGAATAAGACTTCTTAAATATTTCTGGGATTATAAATAGAATATCAATGTAATATAAATAATCATGAAAAACTTAAAAACAAAATATACTTATGAAAGTATATTTTGATATATGAAAAAGGTAAAGATAAACTCATACTCGACACTGAAAATGTTTCAGTATTGAGAGAATAATTGTTGTTCTAATTATGAAAAAAAAAAAAAAAAACCTTGGAAATAACAGAGAAAAAATCTAGTAAAAAAAAAAAAACACAGATATACCTGCAATCCACTATCTCTAGCCAAACACTGACAAAATATTACTTATATTGTTTTGTGAATTGCTTTTTTAAAAAAATATTTTATGGATATTTTCAAACATATACAAAAGTAAAGAGAAGTAATGAATCCCATTTGCCATCACCTAGCTTCAACACATTCATATACTGCCAATATATTTTTTGAAATTTGGTTGTTTGAATAGGGACCCAAATAAGGCCCATGGAGAGCACGCCCAGGGGCCTAGGCAGGAGCTGAGGGCAGCTGCCCCCTCCACCTGGAAGCAGGCAAGCAGCAGAGCATACCCGGGGGCCTAGACAGGAGCCAAGGGCAGCATCCCCTGCCTGGAAGCTGGAGAAGAGCATGACAAAAACACCACTTCTGCATGGGTGGCCAACCACAGCCATTGCGACAGCCACGGCTGCCACAAAAGTGGCTTGACACCACAGCAGTAGCCACAGCCACCATGCAGGCAGCCTCATGGACATTTGACCGCACTGACACAAGGAGTGTCACCAGTAGAGACGAGAAAAAGAAGAGGATGTATCTCTCCTCAAATCCCTCTCCAGAGTAAAAGAAGCAGCTGCTCTACCAGATGACCAGACATCAATGTAGAGTTATTAGAAATACAAAAATTCAAGAAAATATGACACCCCTAAAAGAATACAATAATTCTCAAATAGCAGACCTGATAGAGCAGGAAACCCCTGAAATGCCTGAAAAGGAATTCTGAGCAACTATCTTAAGGAAACCCACTGAGATACAAGAAGACTCTTAGACAATATAATGAAATAAGAAAAAAAAAAAATCCAGGATATGAAAGAGGAAATTTACAAAGAGATTAATAACTTAAAGAATGTAGCAGAACTCACGAACTGAAAATTCACTCAATGAAATAAAAAAACACAACTGAGAGCTTAAGCAGCAGGCTAGATAGAACAAGCAGAGGAAAGAATTTCTGATCTTGAAGACAGACTCCTTGAAATAACCCAGTGGGCCAAAAAAAAAAAAGGAAAAAAGGATTTTTTTTTTTTAAAAGATGACCAGTAAGGGGATCTCAACCCTTGGCTTGGTGTTGTCAGCACCACGCTCAGCCAGTGAGCAAACCGGCCATCCCTATATAGGATCCGAACCCGCGGCCTTGGTGTTATCAGCACCACACTCTACCGAGTGAGCCACGGGCCGGCCTGGAAAAAAGGATTTTTAAAAAATCAAGAAAATCTAAGAGAGCTAGCAGACAACCTTCGGCACACAAACATTCAAATCATGGGTGTTCCAGAAGGGGAGGAGAAAGGAGAAGGCATGGAAAATGTATTCAATGAAGTAATAATGGAAAACTTCCCAAGTAAAGGGAGAAACATGGACCTTCAGATCCAGGAAGCTCAAAGATCCCCAAACAGATTTAATCCAAAAAGATCCTCTCCAAGACACATTATAGTCAAACTGGCAAAGCTCAAAGACAGAGAGAAGCTTAAAAGAAGCAAGAAAAAAGCATCAACTCCCCTATAAGGGAGCCCCTAGCAGACTAACAGCAGACTTCTCAACAGAAACTCCACAGGCCAGAAGAAAATGGGATGATATACTCAAGATACTAAAAGAAAAAAACTGACAGCCAAGAATACTATACCCAGCAAGGCTATCCTTCAGAAATGACGGAGAAATAGTGTATTTTCCAGACAAAAACTGCAGGAGTTCACCACCACATGACCAGCCCTACAAGAAACCCTCAAGGGAGTCTTGTATCAGGAAACAGAAAAATTATACCATTCATCTTACCAGCTATAGTTCTGTTCAAACTTTGATTTTTCATAATTCAGTCTTGTAGGTGGCGTACGGGTTTTTCTACTGGCACCTACATGGTATCGTTTATGTTCTTTTGCCCTGGATTTTCTATAAATTGGCAGTTATAAAGTCTTGATCACGGTCACATTTGATTTTTTTTTTTTTTTAGACTTCATAGTTGGTTGGTTAGTCTGTTTTCTAAAATGAATAACATAAGGTGGACATATTTCGAGGGTAAAGTGTAATTTACTTAACTAATTTCCTATTGATAGACATTTAGACTATTGAAAATAACACTGCAAAAAATATGTATATAGCTAGAAAAATATGTACACTGTTAACAGTTATCTGAGTGGTAGAATTAATAGACAACTATTTTTTTCCTGCAAATAAGTATATTATTTGTCTGTTTTTCTAAAAACTTTAAACAATGCAATGACTATCCTTGAACTTCTGCATACATCTTTAATCTTTTTCTTGGGATAAATTCCTAGACAAGGAAAGCTGGATTAAAATATATGATCATTTTAAAGGCTTTTGATTTTACTGCTAAATTTCTCTCAAGAAAGGCCCACCATGTATGAAATAAAGTACTAGGAATGAGGGTCACTTAAAAGATTCTTTCCTAAATCTCATTCATGTATTTTCATTAAATTTTTCCAACAAATATTTATTGAGCATTGACTTTGTATCAGGCATCATACTAAGCATCACAAACAGAGCAATGAAACAATCATGATCCCTGACTTTGCAGAGTTTTTGTTCAAATTTGGGGATGCTCTTCTTTCAAAAACTCTGCCAAACTCTTCATCTGGAATAATCGTATAAAATTTAGCAAATATTAATTTGGAATTCTGTAAAAATCTATAAGTTCTATAATGGAGCTCTTTTAACAGTTTTCCTCATAAAAAATATTTCTATAGCAAATTTAGAATAAAATTATGAGACTTCTTAGTGACTGGTTTCTCCTGGAACATATGTTGTTTTCTCATATCCTGTTTCACCAGGCTATTGTAACTTTTTGAAAAGCAAATTGCAACCATTTTTGCCCATGATTATCAACAGCTGTACTTGTTTCTTTCTTTCCAATATCCTCATCTTTTCATAATAATGATTAAGCACAGAAAAATGCAAGCAACTACTTAAAGGAGATCAAAGTATGAGTAGAAAGAGGATGTGAATGGTTGAAGAACAGATATTTGAGATTTTTCTTGAAAAGCACCTAATGAAAATTTTAGAGGTTGAAATCCAATCTGTGCAAAGATCAGATTTGATCATAGCAGTACAACAGTATTAGTTATATGATTACTTTCTTGCAAGGTTCAGTCCATTCCTGAAATCAGCTAGAAGCATATCTACTTATGTCAGTATTCATAGTAGTAACTTTTCAGGAAATGTTGCCTAATTTAGAAGCACTAGAAATACATATGTTAAACATTCTGCTTAAGAATCTTGATGCTTTAAATATTGACTGTAATTTCAAACCAAATTCTGAAAAGCCTAGTATTTCATTATATGTAGTCTCTAATAATTTGGCAACATGATGATGATGATGATAGCAGCTACAATCCACTGAGCATTCATAAATGCAAAACATGTGCTCTGGTATAAATGCATTATCTTGCCCACCAACATTTTACGGTAAGAAGTATCTCCAGCTACTATTAAAGATGAGAAAACAAAGACTTAGAGAGGCTACATAACTTACCCAAGGCCAGCCAACCAGCCTCCAGAAGATTTGCGATTCTAACCAAATAGGCTAACCTAAGTTCCCCACCTCTACTACTCAGCCTTACTAGGCTCTTCTTAGTCTGTAAAGGTATCTCTTTCAAAATTAAAACACATTTTTCTACAAAATGAGATTATGAAGGCCTGGATTCCTAGTCTTGTCCACAAAACCCTCTTCAACCCATAATGTTCCTGAAGAATACAGGAGATTAAAGAACCTATGCCTCATAACTCTCATAACAGTGTTTCCTTAAAAAAAAATTAAATGTGAATGGCAACACAGGATCGCATTTTTCCCTGTTATAATTTTGGCAATATTGCATCCTCTATGAACTCTAAGCTAGTGGTGGTAAGACCCAGTGGCTGGTCAGGCAGGGAAAGAGGTGAGTGATTCAGACTTAAGAATATGGGAAAGAAGCAGTGAAATGACTGTAGAGAATGATGAAAAGAGCTTAGAAAGGACCTCTGGGAAAGCAAGAAACACCACCAGGAATATGGAGCAGAGTAGCAATAGCAGTATTCCCAAAGTCTTCTGAACAACTGTGCAATGCTGTAGCAAGGCTAGGGAGAGGGAGGGAGAGAGGAGAAATGCAAATTGAAGTTTTCCATTCCTCCGTTTACTCTCTACCTTGTCTATCTATCCCCATCCAGTGGACACCAGCCCTGCAAACGCCCACCTAAATAATACTATTTAATCAAAGAATCGAGGCTGGTAGAAGAGGACAATATTGTGAGGTCTTCAGCACTGAGAATAGACAGATCCTAAGCAGGGGCATGAAGGATACAGGAACAATCATAGCAAGATCCAATTTGGTGCCTAATAGTGTTTAAGACTGATTAGTAACACCTCAATGCCTCTATTAAGACTTGTAATAATATCCGAACCATTTTTTCCCTTCTTTTCATTTCCTTCCATATACTTTTTTAAATGTGGTTTGTTTGGATTTTATTCCTTAATATCTGGTAACATTCTTTAAACTTCTTATAATATTACATTTGATTTTTCTTTCTTCTTTTTTCTCTAATATTCCCACTGACCTATTCAATTACTCTGATCTTCCTTTTATAAATGAATAGTAACTATATAACCCCATGGTGACAATTTGAAAATAACTATATTTAGTAGCATATGACCAAAGTACACACATATGCACAAATTCCATAAACTAGAAATAACTCAGTCCCCAAATTACCATTCACGTTTATTTACTATTCATAAACTGTCTCTCTGAAAGTATAATAATAAAAATATGAATTATACTTACCCTATTAGGCCTACATCAGCTACAAGTTTTAGATCAAGATGAATTATTCGTTTCTGGCCTTTCAAAGGTAAGAAATTTGTAAGTAATTTACCACCAAGACCTCCTTCAGCGACCAAAACTCTGTCTTCCTCTTTATTGAGTTCTCCTTCAAAAGAGAGAAATACTTATAGCAAAGATTAGTAAATAGAATCACTAATATATTTTTCTTTCAGAAATATATGGCAGGAAATTCTGATTTATAAATTTATAGGGCTAAACAATAGGACTGTTTCTATTAAAAGTGTGACCCTAGGGGGAAAAAACACTTTTGTTAAGCAGTTGACAAGAGACCAGTTATACAAGGGGGTCTTCAAAAGAGTTCATTGAAAGATTCACATTATCCTTCAATTCTATTTTCCCATGAACTTTTGAAGTACCCTCATGTTTTAAAACCAAGTTAGTACTCATATTTTTAAAATAATCTTGAACAGTCAATTTTGAACTTTTATATAAATTTTAAAAAGCTATTTTATAAATTAGCAGCTGGAATTGTTACTGTTAAAAAAAAAAAAAAAAAAAAAAAAAATTGGTTGCGATCCCATTACCGGTCAGTAAAAAAGACAAAAAGGAAAAAAAAAAAAAAAGACATGATGGAGGTTGGCCCAAGGTGGAAGCACTAAAGGTGGGGAGAAGTGGTCAGATTCTGGATCTATTTTGGGCCGGCCTGTGGCTCACTCGGGAGAGTGCGGTGCTGATAACACCAAGGCCACGGGTTCGGATCCCATATAGGGATGGCCGGTTGGCTCACTGGCTGAGCGTGGTGCTGACAACACCAAGTCAAGGGTTAAGATCCCCTTACCGGTCATCTTTTTAAAAAAAAAAAAAAAAAAAAATTCTTCTGAAACTCAAGAGAAGCTATTCCTCCCCAGTTCCAAAACAATTACAGAAAATGTGCAGTTTTCACAAACTTGGAAGCTACAGTACACTCACCTATAATTTTACCATTTTCGTCAGTTACTGAAATACCCAGAGGTACAGGGATTTCACAGTCTTTTCCTTTGGAGCCTTTCAGTGCACTAACCCTACAAAAAAAAAAAGCTAAATTATAATAAGGAAAACCCCACTAAATTAAGCAGTTTACACTTCAAGTATATAAAATGGTTTACAAAGAACAGCAATCAACTCTTCTGGCTAATGCAGACGGTCAAATATTAAAGGAAAACTAAAATTACCCCTGATTATTTATTTGAATTTTAGACTACTGTATCCTATAAAAATGGAATTAAGTTACCAAGCTAACCACCAAAAGTCATTTTAACTCATAATGAACTAAGATGTCACACAGCTGGAATGAAGAGATGATTGCTACAACACAAATAAGGTAGAAATAAAAATAGAAAATTCATTGAATAATGAAGCTTTTAAAAAACTGACCTTAAATGGCAGTACTTAAATGACACATGGTTAATTTGGCAACTCATCAACTGCTCATGAGAGAATAGATTGGTACAAACTTCTAAATTAGTAATTCCACTTCTGGGAATTAATTTTTTTTTTTTAATTGAACAACCATGTAAAATACTACACAAGGATGTTGCACTATGGGTATACCAGGAAAAAAAAAAAAATCAACAATAACCTAAACAGGCAAATGACAAAACAAACTGTTATTTCTGATACTATAACATTATGCAGCCATTCAGAATACTTTTCTGACATGGAAAAAAAATGTTAAGTAAAAAGAAGAGATTGTAAAATGTGAGTACTGTGCTCTCACTCTTGTACCCCAACATTTTATACACATACACATAATTACATTTGTGTAAACACACAGAAAAGTCTCAGAAAAGTCAAGAAAAGGTTAATAGTGGTTATCTCTTGGTGGAAGAAATATAGGTGATTGACTTTTGATAGTGGTGGGGTGAAGTAGCATGGTTGAGATTTGGGAAAGTTTTCCTAAAAGTTGTCAAAGATCTTTTTAGAAGAAAACAGTGGGGATTCAGATCATTTTCTGTTTCTACTGAGGAAGTGCAAAAAGAATACAGATAGACATTGGGAGAAGAAGTGAATAAAAATTTTAAAAACTCCAAAATATTGTTTAGTACCAGCCTTGTATAGTTAAAATATTTTAGACCTTTGCTCAGTTACAAATAGAGGAAATAATTTACTTTAAATTACCAATTAAGTTTTTATCTTGTAACTTTTTTTTCCTTCCAGGAAGGTTTGATTTTATAAAATAAAGTCATTCAGTAAGTACTTACCGACTGTTTGCTCCTCCTCCAGCAACAAACCGTTTCTGAGGATATTTGTCTTTAAGTTGCTTTAAAGTCATTTTTTTTTGGGCTACAACCCAGACATCACCACCTTTTCCACCTTCTCCACCTAAACGAGGATAACCCATTCCACCACTTCCTCCTTTGGTGAAGAGTCTTAGGTTATCAATGAAATTTCCATACTTGAATAAAAGAGAGAACATTTGTACACCAAATTTGTTTATCAACTTATAACTCCTATCTAGTTCTTTATTTCACTAAAACTTCCTTAAAAAAATCAATAATGGCTTTCATATGCAGATTCTACAGCCTTTTACTTCAGCTCACCTCCAGTCTGACCTCCCTTTCCTATCTGATTATCTCTTAAGTCCCCCTTTTCCAACTGTCAATTACTGTCCCATCTATCCTCAAGGTCTCTGACCTTCGCCCTCTTTTCATTTTAGACTTTCTCCCCTGTGTGATGTCAGCCTGTACCAATAACTATCACCTAGGTGAGATATTTTCTATGTCCAATCTGTTGGACATTTCCACCAGGATGTAAGCTTTTAGTAGTTTAAAGCAACTGAGAGCAGGATCTGCATTTAATTTATATTCGAAACCTCTCAAAATATGTAATTTGTTCATAGGCATCAGTTGAATGGATAACAGTCACCTCAAAAACAAAATACTAACATAGTAAAACCAAATTTTTCCCCAGGCAAAATCTGTTCCTCCAACGTTCTCTCAAATAACGGAATCACAGTTTACCTATTCATTGAGACTACACAAACGTAAATCTTTCAGACTATAACTGCTTCTTTTCCTGAAGCCCTAACTCTGTCTCTTCCTTCCAGTTCCACAGCCCTTGTACTTTGACAAATATATTAGCTCCTAAATGATCTTTCAGAATCTAGTCATTCCTTCCTTAATGCATCCTCCATAGTGTTGCCTGAGCTATTTTTCTGAAATGGATCTGATCTCTAATCATGTTTCTCCCATACTCAAAAGTCATCTGTGGTTTTGAATTTTAGTGTTTATGATATTAAGTCTACAATTCTTAGTACTATCTTCAAAGCCCTTAACATACCCTTCCAGTATTATTTTCATTTATTCGACCCTTCCTATCTCTTCTTCCTCTTTGCTTTGTACTACATGATGTACTGCCATGTCTACATGCCACTCTACTCATGCTTTTCCTCTACTTATAATGTAATTTATTCTTTACTATCATAACCCCAACAGAATGTCGTATTTTCTGATGCCTTTCTTAATTCCTTTAATCAACTCTTACCCTGACCTTGCTGGCTCTCTCTGCAATTAGATTATATCTCTATTAGTACTCCATCTGAAATCTTATAGTACATTTAGCATTTATCTGTTTCCTTCACTAAATTAATAAGTTCTTGTAAGTAAAGATCTTGTATATTAACCTCCCAAGCTATTAATACCTTACTGAGTAGTTTCTTAAATTCACAATTTTCACATCTTTAGTCATTTAGGCCGGTTGTAAAAATCAAAAATATCTGGGATTTTTTTTTTTTTTAATAAAATTGAAACACTGCCTTCTGATATGCTCTTGAAGAGTGTTCTTAAAGTTCCGTTCAATATGTAACACATTTTTTATTGCTCAATATTCATCAGATTCAGAGGGTTAGGAGCCTCACTTAAAAGGAGTTATTTCACTCTGGTCGTTAGTAACAAGGTAATGCCCCCAAATATAATGCTAGCAGGTTTTTAAAAAAACATTACTAGTAAGGGCCATATAAAAATTTGTGAAGCAGTTGTAAATTTTTAAGGAAACGATTCTAAAAGCGACACTGCACAAAAATGACCTAATTTTTCTGAAAGAGGGCACGTCAACTACAAATTTTCGTTTTCTGATAACAATTTCCTTTATAAAGATCTTAAAAACAGTGTACTCCAGGAAAAATACATAAGAACGGGCAACGGATATTACTTAAGAGAAGAAATAAACCACTGCATACTTGAGTCACGGCAGGCAGGTATTCCAATTCCTCATCCCACGTGCACACAATTCCACTAAAGAACCTAAAGCCCTGCCTCCAAACAACCCACCCAACCACGCCAGGCAGACACTTCCGTTCCACCCCGGACTGGCAAAGCCCGATACTTGGAGGGGCGGAGAGGACCAGGGTAAAACCAAACAGGAAAAAAACCTCTAGAAAGACAACAGTGAGGAGGAAGGAAAGCGAGGGAGAACCAGAACCCTCACTCGGGGCTAAGGCTACCAGGCACGGACCTTTCTGAACAACACGCAACTGCAATGCACCATGACTGCAAGGAGCCCGTGTCTTCTCTCGCGTAAGCGGCACAGACTGAAGTATGGCGCGGACTTTTTACGTCATCCTAGCCGCTGGCGCGATTTTGCTCCGCACGCTCCTGGCGCATGCGTTATGGCGCGCCCCACGATGAGGAGGAAGAAGGTGGCCTGTACTTGGGCGTAAAACTGAACTGAACATTGAGATAACGTGGAGAAGCAGTGCGGCATCCTGTGGGGTGCACAGTAGGTGCCTCAGGAAGTAACATTTTGAATGGGATGGAACTGGAGACTCAGCTCCCTTGAAGAAATTTTTATGCTAATCGAGGAAACCACAGGATACCAGCCTTCTGTCTCAGAGTGAAAAAACCTCCAAAAACTATACAATTGAACGTGTAAAAGACACGGAAACTCAACTTAGAAAAAAGAACTCTGAAAAAGCTGGTAGTTTAACGACTAGCTGAGTTTTCTCCATCCAAAGTGTCCAGGAGACAATGAATTTATAACATGTGACACAAAAGTATTGAAAATAATATCAGACCTGAGATATGTAGGAAGACTCTTGTGTGCAGTAGGGGAAAGAAACTTGTCTACAACTGTATGTCAGGCTTCTTGGGGTGCATAAACAAGAATTTATATCCAGCTGACATTTGAAGTGTGCCTTGTGAGAATTTTTAAAAAAGAAATTACCTTTCTTCAAACTGGGCAGGACGAGCAGAGTGGCTCTCCTCACACCCTCATGCAATGAAAAATATACACACCCATACTAAACGGCCCTGCACTGCGCTGTCAGTCTTATAAGTCTTTCTTAGCCACCGAGACTATTAATTTCTGGCATCCTTTTCATACCTCAATATAACAGTCTCTTCCTTCCCTCACTTAGGACAGTGATGATGTGGAAATATACCATGTCAAAACTATCCCTCTCTGTCTTTGCTGTTACTGGACCTCCCTCTTTACCACAAATCAGTGAAGCCATAATTATCATTTAACCTGTGATGACTCTATATTTTCCCCTCTGTGGATTCCTTTAATGTTGAATTTTAGCCCAAACATTATCAGAAATTTTATCTCCATCAGTGTACCTATGCATTAGGTTGTTGCTTTGTTGAGGTTTTTAGTCTAATCTTGATAAGATTTGGATTACGGTCTTTACTAGATCTTCCTATTATGTCAGAATAGTGTTGAGCCCAATGTAAACAAAGAAGAAAGCATAATATTTACCTTGAACAAAACCTGATTAGAGCCTGAAGTATTTATTACAGCTTTGGTTGCCAGATAGTGAAAGAAACATTATGAAACTGGTAATTGTCCCCTTATAAATATACAACTAAATTTAACATGAGGTGAAATGAACCAGGGCATTATCCAGACCTGATACAGAAGTCATTCCTGGAAGAAAATACTACTACTTCTGCCATTGAGAGGAGAGAATGCCTTCCCCATGGTTGCTCAGAAGATGGCAATGGGCAAATTATTAAAATCAGTGGCACTAGATAGTCTTGCATATGCATTAGGCATGATAGTCCCAAATGAGCCATTGGCATAACTCACAATTTGATTTTTTAAATGTTTCAATATAAACTACAGTTTTTCTAATTGAAATTTTGAATAAACATTTTATTTTGAAATAATTTTTAATTTACAGAAAAGTTGCAAAAATAGCCCAAAGAATTCCCATATACCCTTGTAGGGAAAATATAGGAAAATGGTCAGGGCCCCTCAGATGTTCAGAATCTTTCCAAGCATTTGATGTAAATATGCACATGTGCCCTGGGTTATGGACTTAAGTATAAAGGGTGAGTGGCTCTGATCCACAGGCCCTCTGCCCCTGGGATGCCCCTGGGGGGGCCATGGAGAGGCTGCTACTGCTGCTGGAGGCTGTTGCTGCAAGCTGTTTCTTCCAGTGCCCCCGGGACCCTCCGGGAGGCCACTGCCACTGCTGCGGTTGTTTCTGCTACTGCTGCTGTAATGCTGTTTCTACTGCTGAGGACTGATCTCGTGTCATCTGCCGATGGCTCCCAGTATCTTTCCCAATTACCTAGTGTGGACCTGTGTGTGAGGGGTCTGTGACCCAGTCTGTACAATGGTATGAAGTGTCTGAGCTATAGCCCTGACAATATAAATGGAAACTTAGTATAACTAAAATAATGAAATGTTCTGGCTTTAGTTATGAATTGCCTAGCCATACAATTGGCATAGCTATTGCTTCAACCCAGCAATTGGCATGGTCTGTAGCAAGACAACCCTATACCCAGCTTACCCTAATGTTAACATCTTTTATAACCACTTGTCAAAACTAGGACACTGTTGGTAGGAATGTAAAATAGTACACCATTATGGAAAACTGTATGGAGGTTCCTCAAAGAACTAAAAATAGAACTGCCATATGATCCAGCAATCATACTGCTGAGCATTTATCCAAAGGAAAGGAAATTAGGATACCAAAGAGATATCTGCACCCCATGTTTATTGCAGCCCTATTCATAACAGCCAAGATGTGGAACCAATGGATAAAGAAAATGTGGTATATATCTACATTAAAATACTACTCAGCCATGAAAAAGAATGAAATCCTGTTATTTGTGGCAACATGGATGAGCCCAGAAGACGTTATGTTAAGTGAAATATGTCAGGCACAGAAAGATAAATACCACACATTCTCCCTCACATGTGGGAACTATTTTTAAAAAGCCAAACTTTTAGAAGTAGAGAGTACAATTGTGGTTGCTAGAGGTTGGGAAGGGGATAGAGGAGGGGAGATAGTGAGAGGTTGGTTAATGAACACAAAATTATATCTAGATAGGAAAAATAGTGGTGTACAGTAGTGCTAGGCATCTACAGTTAACGGTAATTTATTTTATGTTTTCTAATGACTAAAAGAGAGGAATTCACATGTTCTCATTACAAAGAAATGATAAGTGCGGTGATATGATATGCCCTTTAGCGTGATTTGATCATCACACAGTGTATTCATGTATGGAAATGTTACTCTGTACCCCATAAATATGTACAGTCAATGTTTCAATTAAAAAATAAATTTTGTTAAGTTAAAAAAAAAACCTAGGAGGTTAATGTTGGTACAATATTATTAAGTAAACTATAGACTTTATGTGATTTTACTGGTTTTACAACTATAATCTTTTTCTGTTCCAGTATCTAATACTAGACACCACATTGCATTTAACCTAAAATTTTGGAGTAGATACTCTTAAGCATGAAATGGACAAATATGTAGTTAACAAATCATATTTTTATGATGTATTCCTTAATTTTGTCAGCAGACTGAAATGAAAATTGTATAACTAGATTATCTCACTTGATCTTGTGTTGTCTTCTCACCTGCCCTTAATTAGATTCCCACCTTTTGTCTATACACTTTTGGTTCTGCTTGTCCAAGAGGACCCAACAGGGTTCAACTGATTCAGGCCTTGGACTCAGTAGATACTCTCTGAATATTTGTTTGTTAATTAATTTATTCAAAAGAAAGATAATAGCTAGATTACTAACTCCTATAGCATATGAATCACCTGAAGTGTGGCCTAGAGTTATTCTTACTCATTAGCCTTATATTCACCAAAAAGTATCATATCAAATATTCTTTTAGTTTCATGCTATCCAAAATATTGTTACTCTGTAAACTCTTATAAATTAGGGTCTTGGGCCGGCCCGTGGCTCACTCAGGAGAGTGCGGTGCTGATAACACCAAGGCCCCGGGTTCGGATCCCATATAGGGATGGCCGGTTCGCTCACTGGCTGAGCGTGGTGCTGACAACACCAAGTCAAGGGTTAAGATCCCCTTACCGGTCATCTTTAAAAAAAAATAAAATAAATTAGGGTCTTACACTGTGTAGTGGATTGAATTGTCTCCCCCAAATTTAATGTGTTGGAGGCTTGGTCCCCACTGTGACAGTGTTAAGAGGGTGGGAAATACTATTATAGTAATTGAAAGGTGGGGCCTCGCAGAGGTGTTTGGATTGTGAGGACTATACCCTTGAGAATGAATTAATCCATTCTTGGAATAATGGGAGTGGTTCTGGTGGCTTTAAATGGAGAGTGAATGAGGAGGTTACTCTTTCTGCCCTGCCACTCTTGCCATTTGACACCCTAAACTGCTGTAGAGTCACCTCACCAGATGTGCTCCCTGGACTGTGGACCTCCCAGCCTCTGAAACTGTAAGCAATAAATATTGTTTTCTTACAAATTACCCAGTTCCAGGTATTTTGTTATAAGCAACAGAAATGGACTAATATGCACTGCTAGACTAAATCATTTTAGTTCTCCCAAATGGTAAAGGTAAATGGATCAAATAAACAATCCCAACCTTGTGAATGAGGCTCCTTGATCTCTTTCAGTAGCTTTATTGGACTGCATCTAAGGTGAGCTCTCTCTCATACACAAACCACCTCCAGGCTATGGGAAAACTTCATGTAGACTTTACCTAGGCAAATTTGAGAGTGCAGAACAATCATGAGGGAAACTCTCCTACTTTACCACCAAAGTAGTTGGTGAGCCAATCTCTCCACCTCTTGATTCCTCTGGACAGCAGTCGGACTGCAGTCATCATGACTCACCACTGCTGGGGTAAAATAATAAGCTGTCTCAGTAGACTTGTTGGAGACCCCTGCCAGTACAAATGAGCATCAGGAAAGAGATTACATACCCCCACTCCCTCCCTATTGGAGGACCTGAGGGGTCCAAATATTTTGTGATTATTTCTTTTACAAATCTGAGTTGAGTCTGGCACCTTATTTTGGTATAAAGCATCTACTTCATCATGATGTGTCAGCTAGAACTTGTCATTCAATATCTTGAGATATTTCCTTTTGAGGGAAGATAAAATCAAGGGCTGGAATTGAATTTGGCACATTATTTTATATTCTTTCTTGCTTCTCTGAATGATCTGAAACTCTTGCCATTTCTCTTTGCTTAATGATTTGGGGGGTGTGTAGGGAAAGGTGTTAATATGAATTTTTTTCTCTTTACAACTTTTCTATTATAATAACTGGTATTTATTTGGGGATGAT